GTGACACAAATCTCTCACTTTGGGAAAGTATGTGCTAGAAAGACAACAAGGACATTGTTAAAGAATGAGAACCACAGTGGGAACCAGAGGTCTAGGCTCTACCCCCATTTCATACCAACACTTAGGAGATGACAATATATAACAGTACCTGCTGCACATGTGACCAGCCCCGTTTTATGCCGGTAAAAGAAGGGAAACTACCCCTTCTTGCCTGCCTAAAACCTGGGGTAGTAGCAAGGTCAAATGACAACTAATGACCTGGGCAAGGCTGCACAGTGCTGTCACAATCAAAAAATTATCATTACAACATGGTACACACACCAAACAACCACTGGACTATCCAGCCACCTTTTTTCATTCCACCTTTACAAACGCATCCACATTTCATTTTGAAGGTTTTTTGTTTCCTTGCTGCTACCCTCTTGGTGGGATAGTAAAGCAGGTTAATATCTTTTCACTTCAGAAGCCCATGGGGTCCCAGAAGAGTCCTCAGCCTAGTTTTTTGCTGGTGGCCAAGTGACCCGAGACTCACCAATCAGATTTCTCTCTGTAAGGTCAATCTTGAACAGAGTCAGAAGGGAGCTGGTACTTACTCCAGCAGAAAGCTGTTCTGCTAGGACACTTCTGGAGCTCCTGCTTCTGGCTTAGGAGCCCTGGAAAGATTTCTGACTCCTTCCTGTTTCCAAAGCTGGCTGGCCTTGTATTGTCTGAGCTCATGATACCCTCAGCTGGAACAATTTCTGTTATTTGTTACCAAAAGTCCTGAGACACACCAGCACAACACTGTCTTAGTCTATTTCCTGTTGCTATAACAAAGTACTCCCTGAAACTGGGTAATTTATAAAAGAAGAGGTTTATTCCAGCTCATGGCTCCACAGGGTGGGCAGTCCAAAGTATGATGCCATCCAGGGCCTCATTTTCCTCAACTCAAGGAGGAAAGTGGAAGGGCAAGCAGGGGCATACAAGGAGAGACCGACCTCTCTCCATAGCTACCTCATTCTTAAGAATAAGGTATTAACCCATTCACAAAGGGTTCTGCCTCTATGACTCAAACATCTCTCTCTAGGCCCCACCTCCCAACATGTTGCACTGAGGAATTAAATTTCCAACACATGAACGTTCCAAGTTTGAGGTCAGCCTGGGCTACAAAGTGACAAGCCTGAACTGCACAGTGAGACCCTCTCTCAAAAAGACAACAAAAAAAAAAAGGTTGCTGACTTTTTCCTCTCCAGGTAAAACTTTCTTACCAAATATGATAATGATATAGCCTGTCCTACATGAAGGTAGTACTACCCTTAACCAAAGACAGTCTAAAGGTAAGATCAGGATTTATAGCAAGAAAGAATTCCACAAGGGGGAAAAAACAATATTTTTTGAGAAACCAGCCTCAAAACCAATTTAATCACTAAACATGAACACAGAAAGAATAATGTATAGTTGTCTCTCAGTACCCATGGAGGATTGGTTCCAGGACACACATAAGCTGAGGGGGATACCAAAATCTCAGGATGCTCAATCCCTTGCATAAGCTGTGTAGTATTTGCATATAACCTGTACACACAACCTCCTATATACTTTAAACCATCTCTAGACTACTTACATTACCTGAGAAAATAAAAATGCTAGGTAAACAGTGATTATACTGGATTGTCTAGGGAATAATGACCCAAAAAAAGTCTGTACATGTTTAGTACAATAGTACAGTACAGTACAGTATAGTACAGTAGCTATTTTGGTGCAGAGATAAAAACCCAAAGCCTTGTACAAGATAAGTATACTATTGCCTTACTCCCCATTCTTTTTATTATTTTATTACTTTTAATCTGCAGTCATTGAATCCAGTGATGAAGAATGCATAGATACACAGGACCAACTGAATACTGCAGAGTCTAGGAGACTTGGGTCCATCATCTAAGTTTAATGTTTGCAAGAAGTCTAACCTTGCCAGGCATGGTGGCGCATGCCTATAATCCCAGCACTCAGGAGTCTGAGGCAGGAGGATTGCTGTGAGTTCGAGGCCAGCCTGGGCTACAAAGTGAGTTCAAGACCAGTCTGAACTGCATAGTGAAACCCTGTCTCAAAGACAAAACAAATAAACAAAAAAAAAGTCTAATCTAGGCTGCATTATTTTGTCTCTCTGAGATTGTTTTCTCATCAGTAAAGAAAAAAATGCCAATGCTCTTCCTGAAGTTGTCCTAAAGACTAAGCAGGAACAGGCAAAAGTAAAAACAAACAACAATTAATATTTTTAACATTAACCACTGCACTGCTTTTAACCATAAACAACAGTGATTGTGGGGTTGGGAATGTAGCTCAGGGCTGGGGATGTAGCTCAGTGGCACAGTGCCTGCCCGGCAAGCACAAGGCGCTGAGTTCTATTCCCAGTACAAAAGGAAAAAAAAACAGTGATTGTGAAGAAATTAACTTTAAATTCTACCATAAAAGATCACATTTTATATAATAGAAGTTAGAGCAGTAAATTCTATTAAATAGGAACACATTAACATTCAGCATATGATTGCCTCTCAGGAAAAGGATGACACAAGTATGAAGTAATAAAATCATGGCTACATCCAGATGATACACCATGCACATCCATATGCATATACACACAGACACACCACCTGGACCAGAAAAAAAGAGCCCTTCTTAATTAACTCTGCATCCCAGGGCTGGAACAATGATTACACTAACTTCGGTGATAACTACAGTTGCCTGGGAAGCTTACTGAAAATGCAAATTCCCAAGCTATACCTCCCAAAATACATATTCACTCATTTTCTCTCTCTCCCTCTCTCTCTCTTTTACCCTCATTCTTTCCTTCCCTCCCTCTTTTTCTCATATGCACATACATGCACCCTCAATCAGAAGATCGAGAATGGGATATTAAATCTGCACCATTAATTTACAAGGCTCCAAGTGATTGTGATGCAGCTAGACCGTGGACCCCAAAATGAGGAACCCTATTAGGATTGAGGCCAGATGCCAAGTAGGCCCACATGAAAGAGTAATTAATAATCAAATGTTATATGAGACTCTAATATGTGGTAGGGACAAAATGTCTGTATAAAATGTTAAGAAATAAAAATAAATAAAGCAAAGGAGAAGCAGACCTTCAAAGCTCACAAGCCTGATGGTGGCATAGACTTTTACACACCTGACTATATAGTAGTGTATGGCTACACATAAACTTATCAAAATAGGGGTTGGGGATACAGCTCAATGGCACAGTGCCTGCCTGGCAAGCTCAAGGTCATGAGTTCTATTCCCAGTACCAAAAAAAAAAAAAAAAACCTCATCAAGATAAATCTTTACTACTCTGGGCATGGTACGCACAAGTTTGAGACCAGCCTGGCCTACAAAGTGAGCTCAAGGCCAGCCTGAAGTGTATAGCAAGACTGTATCAAAAACACAAATAAAAACACAAATAAAAAAACACAAATAAAAAAAAAAGAAAAAAACACAAAGAAAAAACAAAGAAAAACACAAATAAAAAAAAAAGAAAAGAAAAGAAAAAGATAAATCTTTACTGAGCACCTTCTAGATACTTCTGGGCATGAGAAATATATCAGTAAACACAACAGCCAAACGTGCCTCTCTACACAGAACTGGAGAGATAGACGAGGCAAAATTTTAAAAAGCATAACGTATAGTACATTAGGTAATACGTGCTAGGGAGAAAAACTAAACAAAGAAGAAAGGGCAAGGGAGTGTCATTTTCAATTTGCACCAGTTTCAAAGAATTTCCGCAGGCTCTACCTGCTGTGCTCGTGGTTGTTGAAGTTTCACAGCAGGACAAAGGGATGCAAGGATCAATGAAGGAATGAGTGACTTTATTGGGTGGGCTGGGGCAGAAGGGTGGGAGACACGGATGGTTTCCTTGCTGTAAAGGGTGAAGCAGGAATGCTCCTCCAGCCTCTGCACGGGCCACGGTACATTCAGCCCTGACTGCATCACAGTGCATCTCCAGCAAGGCCTGAACAACTGTGCCTCTCACCTCTGCCAAAATCCATGTGTCCCGCCCTTGTTATAAACTTAGGCAATTATGTCAGCCTTTCCTGGGTCATATCAATGGCAAGTTTGGGGACATTTTTTATCATAAAAAGAACACAGGACCACAGTAAAAAATATGAAAAATACTTAAAACACAAAGATTTCAAATATTCCTACTCCCCCAACACCACCTCTGTTCACATTTTGGTGTGTTTTTTGTCACTTTTGCTTAACACATCTAGGGGCCGAGGATATAGCTCTGTGGCACAGCGAGTGCCTACCTGACAAGTGCAAGGTCCTGAGTTCGATACCTGATACCAAAAAAGAAAATATATCTAGGACCACTCTACATTCAAGTTTCATATCCCTTTCTTTCATTGTTATGAAATATGCAGGTTTAGGACATATATAAAATTTTTAATTACTACATATATATTTTTCTCCTTAAATTCTATACAAACATCATTTTTAATGGCTACAGAATATTCTGTCCCATAGAGGCACTATACTTGATCAATCATTTCCCAAGTAATCAGTATTTAGGTTTCTGAATTTTCAAAATTCTCAACTGAACCAGGCATGATGGTACATGCCTATAATCCCAGCACTAGGGAGGCTAAGGCAGAAGGATCACCTTGAGTTCAAGGCCAGCCTGGGCTACATGGTAAGTTCAAGGCCAGCCTGAAATACATAGACCCTGTCTCAAAAAAAAAAAAAAAAAAAAAAATCTCAATTACTCCAGAAACACTTTTACCAAAAGATATTTTATTTATTTATTTATTTTTTACCAAAAGATATTTTAATGAGCTCCCTCAGAATACATTCCTAGAAGAAGCAGCACAGGAAACTAAAAAGATTTCAAGTAAGCAGTCACTGCATAGATGATCCACATTTGACCCAAATTCAGTCCCTGCACTTCCTGGCTGCAGCAGCAGAATACAGAAGCTCACCGTCTCTCAGCACCTTTTGGTCTGGACAATGAGTGGTGACAGAAGAGACATATTTACCTGCTGTCAGAATCCGAGGCGATCTCTTTTCTCCCTCCAAAGCGGATCTGGCACTGCACAGAAAAAGAAACTGCTGAGATCAGCTATTAGGATGGGACTCTAAAGCATTACAAAACAGCCCACACCAGTCAGGGTCAGAGGTAGAAAGAGGGCCAGAAACTCTGGCCACTGAGTCAGGACACTCTGTGCCCTGTGTGTGAGTACAAGAGTTAAAAAGGTGAACAGTTCAGACTTCAAACTGCCACTTACAGGAAGCTAGTATCTCCCCCTTGTCCAGAAGCAAGCCTGTGGGAAAACAGTGCTAAGAAGAAAACAAAGCACACAGCCATCTGCGAATTATCTGGGAAACTGCTCAGATCTGTCAGCAGCTGCCTATACCACAGAGCTCGTAACAGGCGATAATTAAAATATTCACAAAAATGTGATGGTTCCTTTGTGACAGGACCCCGAAGTTATTATGACTGGCTAGAAAACTGCAACAGCATGAATCCAGCTTCAAAGAAGTCACCCAGCTGTGCTGAATGACAATTGATCCAGGGTAGGTAAAACCCAAAACAAAACCTCTCACTTTTTTTATTGTGGTAAAAACAGAGGTGACATAAAATTTACCATTTTAATTATTTTTGGCTGTAAAAGTCAATTCACATTGTTACCCACTCATCATCACTATCCACCCTCTCTTTTAAAGGTACAGAAACCTTGCTATAAATAGCAGCTTCACAAAATGCCTACACCTATGATCAAAAATAAATATAATTTTAAATTATACACACTGAAACTCATGAAACTTTACAAAGTTCATGACATTATTTTGTTGTTGTTTTGTTTTGTTTTTTGAGACATGGTCTGCTATGTAGTTCAGGCTGGCTCTGAACTCACTATGTAACCCAGGCTGGCCTTGAATTCGTGGTAATTCTCCTGCCTTAGCCTCCTGAGTGCTGGGATTACAGGCATGCGCCTCCATGCCCAGCAGTATATTTTATTATATGTAAATTATACATCAATAAAGTCACTTTTTAAATATACCTATATAAAATGTTTTAACTCCCCCAAAATAATAATAGCTTCTTCAAGCAGAAGCTCTGAGCAGAAGCTCCAATCCATTTCTATTTAACTGCTATATTTAAAGTGGTTAAACCTGCCTCCTCATCTTCTTGCTACATTTTCCATTTCTGAATCAAAGACAGGGACTTTTTTTTTTGGTAGTGGGAATCAAACTCAGGACCTCACACTTGCCAGGAAGGCACTGTGCCACTGAGCTGTATCCTCAGCCCTTCTAAATCAAAGAAAAAAGAAACAAACAACATGGGCTGTGGACTTACTGTGGACCAGGTGCTGGCTGGACCCTTTACCTAACTTTTACAAGTGCAATTTTCTCAACAGCCCCATGGGGATGAGTGATCTAGTTCCAGAAAGAAGGATACTCAAGGAGGCTAGATGAGTTACTCCAGCACAAAGAGCTGTGAGGTGACAAAGCTGGCACTCAACCCCAGCTACAGCCACAGATGAGCCCCATGCCTGTGTTCTTCCATCATACCAAGCTGACTCAAGGGTTGGGCAGATGCTAAATTCTCTGGGCTCATTTCAACACATAGTTCATAGCCCAATTAAGTATTTTCTCCCTACACTGTGGTTATATACATATAATTATCAATCACCCTTTCTAAAAAGTGAGCTTTCTGAGCTCCAGGTTTGGATCCTAGCTCTGTCACTTGCTATGATAGTTTGGACATGGAATGTTCCCCAGTTGCTCATGTGAAGAGTTGGTCCCCAACAGAGCAATGTTCAAAGGTGGGGCTTCTGGGAAGTGAATGGTTCTTGAGGGCTCTGATCTATCAATGGATTAACCCATCTGTTGATGGATTCATAATTAAATGGACTGTTAGGATACGGTGGAAACTGTGAAGGCAGTGCCTACCCAGAAGAAGCAGGTCTCGGGGGGAGCATATCCTAGAAGGGTATATCTTGTCCCTGGCTTCTTCCCTTCTCTCTTTTTGCTGCCTGGTCACCAAGAGAGGAACAGCCTTCCTCCATCACACTCTTCAGTCATGTTTCTGCCTCACCACAGGCCTGAAAGCAATGGAGCGAGCTGACCACAGACTGAAACCATAAGCCAAAACAAACTTTCCTGCAAGTTGATTCTCTTACATATTTTGCCACAGTAACAGGCCGGGGATGTAGCTTAGCAGTGCAGCGCCTGCCTGACAAGTGCAAAGTCGTGAGTTTGATTCCCAGTACAAAAAAAAAAAAAAAAAAAAAAAAAAAATATATATATATATATATATATATATATATACATAAATTACTTCCAGAGCTGCCTGGATAGACATCATAATGACATCATAATTTTGGAGGCTGGGGATATAGCTCAGGGGAATAAGTGCCTTCCTGGCAAGCACAAGGTACTGAGTTCGATTCCCAGTACCAAAAAAAACCCTGATAACATAGATATATTAACCACACTCGATGTCACAGTGATGGAAAACAGACTAACACGCTAAATTATGACACTCTGAGCTACTTATTGAATTTCTCTAGGCTTGAGTTTCTTCATCTGTAAAATGAAAATAACTGCAGGAGCCAGGCATGGTGGCACATGCCTGTAATCCCAGCACTGCGGAGGTTGAGGCAGGAGGATTGCAATAAGCACAAGGCCAGCCCAGGCTGCACAGTGAGCTCTTCAAGGGCATCCTGGGGCAGAGGATATAGCTCAGTGGCACAGCACCTGCCTGGCAAGCATGAGGTCCTGAGTTCAATTCCTGATACCAAAAAAAAAAAAAAAAGTGAAACTTTGTCTCAAAAAACAAAAAAATAGAAAAGAAAAGAATTGCAGGGAGAATTATATATAAAGTAGGCTTGGTGGCGCACGCCTGTAATCCTAGCACTCAGGAGGCTAAAGCAGGAGGATCACCATGAGTTCAAGGTCAGTCTGGACTACAAAGTGAGTTCAAGGTCAGCCTAGAATACAGAATGAAATTTTGACTCAAAAAAAAAAAAGGATTAAATGCAAAGCACTTTGCAGAGAGACAGGCACACAGTGAACATATGATAATGACAATAATACATAGTCTGGTACATGCAGGCAAGAAAACAGATGCCAGGCTCAGGTCTGGGACCACTTCCTTACCCTTCCAGAAGCTGGCTACAAGGAACAGTGCCAAGTAGTCACAGAAGAGCCACCTGCAGAGCCACACAGCTGCGGTGGCAGCAGAGGATCCTGGGCATGGCCTCATGCCACCTTGTCTTGCTCTTGTGCTCACAGGGTTCTAACTCCAAACCACCATCTCTAAACCCTTAGAGTGTCCCTAAAACTCTGAAACCCACATTGATGCCCTCTTCAAGGGACATCACTGAAGGAAAGACTCATAGTACCTCCTCTACCTCTATTCTGACTGCCTTTCCTTGCTCTATCACTTCCTAGAGAAAACTCTCTACTTCACCATTCCCAGAACAGAAAGTAAATGTGTGTGTACAAAAAAGAAGAAATGACTGCTGCATTGATTGTGTGACACTCTCACTCAAGCCCAAAACCAAGTGTATACATTCTTCTTACCTGTTTTACTGCATCCAGCAGTCGCTCCAGAAGAAATTGTCTTTTGTCATTGTTCTGTGATCCTAAAATGCAACAAGGCTTAATTAGTTCTGTCAGACATTAGCCTTCTATTAAGACTTTCTGACACCACAGTATATGGCTCTCCCCAAGTACAATCAGTCCTTTGCTGATCTTTAACAAAATCAGTAGCAAGACCAGTACCAATAACCTAGATCATTACAATGAAGTTTGACCATTTGCCTTTTAGCACATCACAAGAAAACAACTAAATTAATTTTTCCCATATTTGAAGAACATGTCCATAGTGCTCTAAGGGCTTCTCAACTGTGGCACTGTAGGAGATATTTAGCAACATCCCTGGCCTCTGCCTCCTAGATACCAGTAGCACACATATACTCTGAGTTATGACAAGAAAAGAAAATGTCTCCAGATATTGTAAAACATCTCCTAAGGGACAAGGACAAGAGGGGAATTGCCCCCAAATGACAACCAGCAGTCTAACACAAAATATGTTTCCTAAAATGGCAAGTACCATTTGTTGACTATTCGTACTATTATTTCCAAAATCTTTTTCGCATGCCAATCACTGCAATACAAGCCTAAGAAGCCTAATTACTCCTTTTCTCAGCAGCTAAGGCTGTTTTGATTTGTTTTGTTTTATAAATGTTGGGGATTGAATCTTGGGTTTTTGCACTGAGCTAGATTCCCAGCCCTAGTTTTACTCCTTCATTTTGAGACGAGGCCTTTTTCCCTCCTTTCTAGATAGGGTCTTGCTATGTAGTTCAGGCTAGTCTTGAACTCACTATGTAGGCCAGGCTGCCTCAAACTCAATGTGATCTTCCTTCCTCAACCTCCCAAGTGCCAGGATTACAAATGTATACCATCACACCCATAAGAGGGTCTCCCTAAGTCACTAAATTGCCTCCAGAGTGCTACAATTACAGGTGTGAGACCACACCCAACTCCTTCTTTTTTTTTTTTTTTTTTGAGCCAGGGTCTTGCTAAATTGCCCAGACTGGCAATCTAACTTACAATTCTCCTGCCTCAGCACAAGTAGCTAAGATTACAGGCATGCATCACACTACGCCTTTTGATACAGATAAAGATATGAAGGCATCATTCCTGCCTCCATCCTCAATACTTAATCATAAACATGTTGAGTGGAGCCAGAGGAGCATCTTGCCACCACAAAGCCATGAGGGAAAGGCCATGAGAATCACGAAGACACCAGCCCCATATCACTGAGCTGCTGTGGCAATACTAGAAACAACCTAACTTTCACCAAATAAGAAACCTCATTTGTTCAAACCACTGTACACTGGTGTCTAGATGTCCCCGCAAAGCTTCATGCAGTCATAGGGTTTTTTCCAGAGGTGGGTGAATCTAGAGTATATGACTGATTTGTGGTGTGATGCTGGGATTAAGGGTACTTGGATTAAGAATGGGTGATGGCTGGATCATTCCACTGATTGGACTGGCACTGCCCTATCCAGCTGGACTGGATACAATATAAAGGACAGAAAAAGGCTTGTCTTGCTCTGTCTAACTTGCTTTTGCTGTCTTCTGCTGTCATGAACTGGTTTTCCCCTGGGATACCCCTCTGCCATGCCACCCTGCCTTGGACCCAGCCAATTAGGGACTGAAACCTCTACAAACTGTAATAGGTAAATAAATTAACCTTTCCTCCCTTAACTCTGGGCACTGGGTATTTTGTCTCAGCAATGAAAAAACTAAGACAACTGGGCTGCTACTTATAGCTAAACATATTCCCAAGTGATACATATGACGTACACTGAACTTCCATTTAAGAAGGTCAGAGATAAGGGGACTTCGAAGCACCAAGCAGACTATTGTCAAACTGATGTTCCACAAAAGGCCCAATGACTCCAATCAATAGAGATAAGACTGCGGGTTATCATACACCAAGCCCAAAGCACAGTCACTTCAAAGGATAATCAATCTTAAAGATGCACCATACCATAGTCTTCAAATTGACACCAAGCTGCTTCTCTCTTAGCCAACTCTACGTGAGCTGCATGAAGGAGGAGCAATAAGGCACTGCCCAGAGATAGTCAGTGATTCCTGCAAGTCAAGCCAGGGCCAGCCAGTTGAAAACAATTTCCAATGTGTATTGGGCACTTCCTGTGTGCCAGGCACTAAATTGAGCACTCTACACCTGAATCACCTCTTAATCTTCACAATCATATTATAGGTCAGAATCCCATACCACACATGTACAAAGCAAGCTCAGCTCAGCAGTATCAAATAATTGTGAGCACGGATCCATTCAGGATTTATTTAACTTTTACCATGCACAAGCAACACTCTAAGTACTGGGGACACAGAATTTAAATGGTACAAAAGAGCCATCTTCTCATGGAGCTAAAATTTTATTAGGAAGAAACAAATGGTATATAAGTACACTGATAAATGAAGTCGAACAAAGGGATGAGATAGTAAGGGGGGGAAGAACCTGAGCCACTTTAGCAAGTACAACCCTGGGGACCTCTCTGCAAAGGTGACATTTGAGCCAATCCTTTCATAAAGAGGAGGATCAGCCATGGAAAGATATGGAAAGGCGGCATCCTGAGCAGAACAAACAGGTGGGGAGAGGTTTGTGTGGGACAAGTTCAGCTTCTGACCTTCCAGAACAAAAAAAAAAAGTCTACTGTGACTTGATCAAGGAACAAAAAAAGGGGAAGGAAAGATCAAAAAGCAGACAGAAGCCTACCATGGGAGATGTAAACTAGGATAAAGGGTTTAGAGTCTACCCTAACTTCAACATTAATTGGTGGAACTGTGATCTGTGATCCTTTTTTGGGGGGCAGTCTCACTATATATTGCACGCTGGCCTTGAGCTCACTTTGTAGCCAGGTTTGCCTCAAATTCATGGCAATCCTGCTGTCTCAACCTCCCAAGTGCTGGGATTACAAATGTACGCCACCATGTCCTACACAACTGTGATGCCAAGACTATCCCCCTGTAAAGGTTGCATTAGGACCCCCACACTAAGGCTCCTGCCTTACTCCAAGACTGGAAGTAAAACCAGTGAGCAGATACTCCACAACACACACTAAAACATTAGCTTCTCAAATGTCACCATCGTCACTTCCTGGAAGAGGTTTTAATAGAGGAAAGACTACACACCATTCCTTCCAGACAAGAGGCCAACTACAAGCATCATTCAGGATGGGTATAGATCTCACCTGTCCAAGGCCCTCTAACACATCCCTTAAGTCCTACTCTTTGCTTAGGTTTCTGCTATTACCTGTGTAACACACAGTAGAGAAGGCAAGTTTCAGCGCCTGCCTGGCACGCGCAACGTCGTGAGTTTGATTCCCGTTTGGGGGCGGGGGGAGTTTGCTTTATTCCTTTTTCCAAGTACTAAACCTAACAGTTTTACCTGCCCGTGGGCAATGCCAATTGGAAAGTTGAGGTTTGCCCCAGGAAATGCCTTTGTTTGGTTTTGTTGTTTTGTTTTGTTTTGTTTTGTTTTTTACTTATCATAAAACTTGTATAAAAAAATACAAAACAAATGAGGAAAAATGTACAAGGAATAGAATCTCCATTATCTCACCACTGATGATGTTTTTCACAGTGCTTCTCAAACTTCAATGTGCACCTGGATTCCTAGGGATCTTGTAAAAAGGCAGCTGATTCAAAAGGTAGTGGGTGGGACCTGCGATTCTGCATTCTTCACAGGCTCCCAGTGATGCTGACTTGCCGGTTTCAGAGCTATATCTACCCTTCCTGATGTGCACAATGACCCGACATATGTCCTACGTATTTTGAGTTACTGTTTATTGTAGATGTCAACAGCCTCCTCTGCCTCACCTTGTAAAGCCTCTTCTCAAAATGTGGGAAAGGACTGTTCAGGTCTCAACCCAGAAACTCAAACTTGCTGTCTATGATCTTTCTTTCTCTTTAAGCAAGCAGTTTTCAAGTGCAACAAATCTAATCTCAGAAGAGGAATGCTTGAAATGGTGGTCTTATAGGCACCAGGGTGCACAGGTAGGCTTGAGGCCACTGGTTCACAGCAGGAGGTGCCCAGAGAGATCCCTGACTGTGACCAGAAGGAGAAGAACTGAGTCAAAAGTCACAAGGCAAGAGTTCTCATCCGGGCTGAGCCACTTGCTGGCTATCTGACAAGGACAATCACTTCCCTTCTCTGGGTACTGGAATCTGCATGAGATCATGCTGTCCTAGTGCTGCAGTTCACAAACATGGGCAAGGTCAGAGAAATCACACCTTCTCCCAGTGATAAGGCAGAGAATGCAGCACCCCTAGACCTGGGCCCAAACAAATTGTCCAGTTTCAAGCACTGCAGCCACTCAAGAAGAGCAGGGAGCTGATCCCACCAAATGAGCCCCAAGTGTGGCATTAATTCAGTAATGACTGACTGACTTAATCCTTGACAAAGATGGAAAAGGTGAGTCAGGTGTGGTGGTGCATGCTTGTAATCCAAGCAACTAAAGAGGCTAAGGCAAGAGGATCATAAATTAGAAGCTGGCCTGGGAAACTTAGACCCTGTCTTGAAACAAGATTCTAAAAGGGCTGGAGAACTGTAGCTCAGTGGTAGATCATTGCCTAGCACACATAAGGCCCCGAGTTCAATCTCTAGTACTACCAAAAAAGGGGGGACATGGGGGTCCACCACCATTCAACAGAAAGAATTGAGGCTCTGAGAGGAGAAGACCTTTATTAAGGCTAGACCATGGGAAGTGATCAATAAGGGATCCAATTCTAAATCCACTGCCACCGGCTCTGCCATCTGCTAAATTCTGCTCACCTTGGACACCTACAACAGACCTGCAGCTACAGCCCACTGCAAGTTCAGGAACCATTCTTCATTCATGTTCCAGTGACCAAACCCAGCCTTCCTGTTTCCTCCCTTCTCCAGGGCCAGACACAGCTAACATCATCAGCCAGTAAACCAGAAGAGGCTTCTTCCTTATTTCTTTTTAGAGCACCATCCAAAGGAAAATACAGGGGCTGGGGATTTAGCTCAGTGGCACAGCACCTGCCTGGCAAGCACAAGATCATGAGTTCAATTCCCAGTACC